TTGGAACTGCCCTGAAGAAACCCAAAAAAAAAAAAAAAAAAAAACAAGACCCGCCCCCCCCCAAAAAAAACCCCCCCACACACAGACAAAAAAAACTACAAAAAACAAACAAACAAAAACATGGAGCTAGCTAAACTAGATCAAAGCTTCTTCAGTTGAGTGGACCCCCCACCCCAAGAAGAAAAATGCCAATTAAATTCAACTGTATTAGGTTACCAAATGTCAAATTAGCAATTTAAATAGATCACAACAATTCCAAAGTGAAATAAAAACAAATAAGGATTCAATATTGTGTCACTTGAAAATATTCAAAGAAAGAAAAAGACATTAAAAAATATAAATACAGAAACAAAATAATTATGTTGTCGTCTTTCTGGTAGTGCGTTTATTGTTTTGGCTGAGACACAAATGCTCCTGACAAAACAAAATGCTCATGATTAAGTAATCAGAATATTCCTGAAAGGTGACAATAGGGGCCGGCATCTAAAAGATTTCCCAGTAGTATAACCCACTTTTTATTTGTTTTCTCATTTTCCCGACCTCTTCCTGTCTATATTAAAAAAACATGCACACCAACACTTTTGTTTCATCGCCGCCGAAAACCTCTTTCTAGCTTGTGATGTGTTAGCTGTTGATGTTTCCTGTGTTGTTGAAGAAGAGCTCAGCTGACGATTGTCTTGTTAACTTCGGACAGAACTGAATTTTTCCCCCTTAACTTTTTGCTCTTTCGTGTTGACATCGGCTTCTATTTGGGATTGCACAGAAAACACGGGAACAACGAATTGTTCCCTGGGGGCTTGATAACACGAATTTGTTCGTTCGGCACAGTTCGCGGGCTCCGTCTCGGGTGTGCATCAGCAGGAGGACAGCGATGCACATACTCTTAACGAGTAACGCCACGAGTTGTAACGTAACTTTTGAGCAACAGTGCGTGCAGCCAGTGGATGCGTAAACAAGATTATAGCCGTCGTGACAGTGTGACAAACGGCGTTCCCAATTACTGGCATCCCTCCCTGTTACGTCCAAGTCAGCATTTTCCTTTTCTTTCCCACACTTGTGGAGTACAACCAACTCAACGCGCGCTTGGATGAGGGACTTTGTCAGTTGGGTTATGTGATACAGTTGTCACACGGGTGTGAGCAATTCAATGCATCAGCAAGAAAACTGCTCTCGTCCTTCTGCTCCTGACAGGTGTCTTTCATTTTTTAACTGAAATCCGGAGAGATGAAGTCAAAATGGGCGAACGGGCAGGCCCGATCACTAACGCCAGCGAATGAGTGAACAAAACCAATGGAGATGTCGAATCATCGCGGCTCACAAACGCACTTCCATCTACATTCATGAAGAGTGATATAGCAATGTTGTGAGCAAAACATGAGAACTGGAAAACCGAATTTGTTGCTGGAAGCTCAATTCCCATTCCGGAGCACTGTTATTATGATCCGGCGCGTGTGCTCCGGGGTCAGTGTTTATCAATCGGCTCAGCGGGAGAAATCAATTCAGGCCTTCACAAGCAGACGTGAGTCTGGAGGTCGGCCATCTACATTCATGAAGAGTGATATAGCAATGTTGTGAGCAAAACATGAGAACTGGAAAACCGAATTTGTTGCTGGAAGCTCAATTCCCATTCCGGAGCACTGTTATTATGATCCGGCGCGTGTGCTCCGGGGTCAGTGTTTATCAATCGGCTCAGCGGGAGAAATCAATTCAGGCCTTCACAAGCAGACGTGAGTCTGGAGGTCGGTTGTCGAGTGTCGAGATGTCATTGACAACCAAAAGTTGTGTCAACAGGAATCCGTTCCTCATTTGCTGTGCCTTCAGCAGAGTGCAGACGCGATAGCTCTTCCTCGTATCACGTCTGCTTTGTCCCCTCAGACAGGACATCCTGCGTTCAACAAAGAGTCAACCAAACACGCATGACGATGACTCAATACCATCATTGACTTGGATGTGGCAAATATCTTACTCGGACACAATTGTGAGACTTTTCTAGTGGCGGTTTGGTTTGATTTCTGAGAGCCGTGACCCTTTGATGGTAAATAACGACTTAATTTACTTCTCCTATATACTTATTAGCTCATTTGCAGGGCTGCAACTAATGCCTTTTTTTTTCAAATCATAGATTAATCTGTCAATTATTTTGTCGATTAATCGCTGAACCAGATTTAAAAGGATACATAGACATATTTGAAGTCCCATCCCTTTATTAAGAAACAGGAGATTATTTCATATTGACATTGTAGAAAATGCACAAAGGTCAATTATTTCAAATTCAGTCACTGTCGGATAATAGGCAAAAGTTTGTTTTTCAGAATAAAAGAAAATGTTTTATTTTGATCCACCACAAAGATGATCAGTCCTCTTTTATGGAGGACTTCAAAAATTGGAGAATATTTACTACAAAATGAAATTTTGAGGATTTGGACAATTTCAAATGAAACAATGGCACAAAATGATGCATCGACTATCAAAAATTGTTTGGGATTAATTTGACAATGAATCAATGAATCACGGCACCTCTACTCGTGTAATGTGCGACAAAATGTTTTCGAAAAAAAATCTGCCTCCAGTTTTGTTTTGATTTTTGACACCGATAAAGGGTGAAACGATCAGCATTCCCCAGTCCACCATTTGAGCCAGCATCCAAGCATCGGGTCTGCTTGTGTTCCACTTTTTGATCATTGGCTTTTTGCGAAACCTTTCTTTTTCTTTTTTTTTTTTTTTTTATAATGGCATGTCTTTCAAGTTCAAGAAAGTGAGAAAATAGGAATTGAGTCAGCCTCCTCGCAGTAACGTACTTTTTTCGTGCGTAACGGAACGTTTAATCGCCATCAATGTTGGAGACGATTGCCGGTCGCCTTGAGCAGAAGTCATGGTCTTGTGAAGCCGTTTGTCGTGTGATTTCTGCTTTGATTTGGGAAGTGCTCTTCTTCTTTCCTTTGTGCCAATGTCCAGTGGATTGAAAGCACTTGGATCCCGAAATGGTATTTGACCATTCATTTGTGGACAAGCAGCAAATTTGTTTTGGATATTCTGTGCCCAGTGTGGTGCATATTTGTGTAAGGAGAAGGAGCAATGTGTGGGTGTGCACCTCTGTCATCTGCACCTAATCGCACGGAACTTGCCTGAGAGGTTTGCGAGCTACAGAAGCGGAGGCGGGCACGTCTATCCACCCACTCAAACTCTACGTCTGTCTCAGCCCATCCCGCAGGTGCAAAGGGAATGCAATGGTGGGATGAGCTTCTATTATTACCTTCTTCTTATGAAAAAACAAAAACAACAACACTGGTGAAGTATTCCACTGCCGGTCTAATAGCGATCAATACAGCTCAAAGCTTCAAGCCTCCTGTGATTGTTTCTCACATTATGTGCCAGAAGAGATGGAGGCAAGGTGGAGAGACAAGCAGGATGTCTTCTCACTCGTAATTCCTTCCAGGCAGTCCACGGTTGTTTCCTGTCTAGCCTCTCAACCTTTCCCTGATTTTTTTTTCCCCCAGCTTTTGTCTGGATGACATCAGTGTTTGATATTTGTGCATGGATGTCATTTGATGGCTGGCTGGGTGGAGCTTGTTTGTCGGTGAGTGATAAAGAATCATCGGTGATGGGTAGATGATACCTTAAGGCGTCCATTGACACATGACACAAAACTGTGTTGACGCTGTATTGATACTGTGTAGTAAGTCGGGGCAAACCACTTGCTTTGTTGTTTTAATGATCTTAGAGCATTTTAAGATAAGAAAACTTTTATTTGTCTCACAGTGGAGAAATTCCCAAATTACAGCAGCGAAATTATGAAAGGGAAAAGTACAAGAACAAAAATGTCATGTCAAAGGTCGCATGGGTAAAATTGTCAATTGCCCTCAATTGCCATTTCAATCTCATTGTGTGCACACAAAAAAAAAAAAAAAATTGCTGTTCTTA